AAAGAACAAAGAACTAATAAAAGACAAAGCAGGTCCAGCCCACAGGCCTTGCTGGCTTCGTGGCGGTGGAGCTGTCGGAGCTTAGGAGTAAACCCACCGCTCTCTTCTCTGGAATCAGTTGAGAAATAGGGACAGGAATTAAGCAAATGGACACCAAAACATGAAAAAGTCCTTACTGTTGGGGGTTCACTGGCTTCTGTAGTGGCTCCTACCGCTTCCCCAGGTGCAGACCCCAGGCCAGGCCTCTGGAGGGGGAGTGCGGTCTGTCTGTCAGGGAGGGGCAGAGCCTTTCTGGGTGGCTGCCAGGGGTGCTGCTGCCTTGTGACCACCACGCTGCAGCAGGGCAGAGGGACAGCGGGCGCCCACACCTGCCTCTCGCTGACTCCCGTGTGCTTTCCAGTCTCCCCCGGATTCCCAGCGGGTAGCCTCCCCTTTTGTGGGAAAGGAGGCAGGGACCAGGTCAGCCACCCAATCTCTTTGCTCCATGGATAAAATTTCTTCCTGGAAACTATAAGGGCAGGGGATGGCGTGGCCTCAGCAGGAAGCTGGAAGGTTCATTTCCAGTGCTTCCTTCTGGTGTTCTGGCATTCTGAAACAAAGTGTTCCTGCACTGGGGCTTTTAAAAGGTTTGAAAGCAATTTGAAAAAAATACAGTCTGCCTAAAATGCTGCCTGATGTTTGTATAATACCTTGGTGGCAAACTCTAAAATGCACTGCCATTTTCCTTAAAAGCTGGAAAAATGTGTTGCTGCTCATTCAAGTCGGAAATGGAGACCTGGGAAGCAATGTGACCTTGTCATGGTAGATGGCAACAGACTGTAGGAAGGATGGATTACAGAACCCAAAACCCTTCCCACTGTCCTCTCCCCGTCCTGCCACCGTCCTCCCCGCCCTGCCACCGTCCTCTCTGCCCTGCAGGCTAACTTCCTTCCTAACAGCCTCCCCTTGCTTTCCCTCTGCTGGATCTTAAGCCAGGCGCCTGGGTCCCATTCCTAGACATTCTAACAGGTCCCACAATTCACATTTTTCGAAAAACAAAGCAAAAACTTCCAGAATGAGTTTGCTATAGATGGTGCCCCTTTGTGAAACGCCTCCGCTGGTGCCCCTGCCTCTGCGACCCAGTTCCCAGCCCTGACTGCTGCTTTAGCCCTGTCCACCAGGACAAGCAAGGATCCCCTCTGTCCCCACAGAACCAGGCAGGGACAATGACGCAGGATAGGCCACTGGAGGCCTTCTTCAGGATCCTTCTAACTAGGGCAGTTGGGGACGAACCCCTTCCTCTCAAGTTCCAGGCTGTTCGGGATCATTATGGCCTGCTGTGTGTAAAAACCACCCATGACGGGGACAAGGAAGGCCAAGAGGAAGAGAGGCAGGGCCAAGACAGGAGATGAGGGTGGGGCAGGCCGGAGAAGCCCTTTTAACCTGATGAGCCTTTTTAAGTCGTCGAACTGGTCACCCCGAAGTCGCAGCTTCCTTTTCTTTAGTTTGGTCACAAGAACCCTTGAATCCTGCACTCTGGCCCAAACTGAGCTTCTGGTGTTTAACAACCCACAAGCCTCAGCACACTCCACTCTAACCAGCCTTCCACTGTGCAACAGGCTTCTCAAAGGCAGAGCTCAAATCATCCCTTGCCAGTCTCAGACAGCATCCAGGGCTTCCCAGTGTGCCCAGAACCCAGCAGAACGTCTTTCACAGCCACTCCCCCCCCCCCTGCACCTTTGCCCTAAGTTTGATTTTGCAGACTTCTCGCCACTCCTCCATGCAAGGGACAAATCAGGCTGTGAGGGCTGCTATGAAAGGCTGTCCTTGCTTGGTGCCTTTGCCGTGCTGCTCCCCCACCTGGGGTACACTAGCTCTGCCTATTAAAATCCCCCCAAAAGAAAGCAGCAGAAGGGTCCAGCACAGTAGCCTAATGGCCAAAATCTTCTCCTTGCTTGCACCGGGATCTCATGTTGGCACCAGCTGTTCCATTTCCCATATGGCTCCCTGTTTGTGGCCTGGGAAAGCAGCTGGCCCAACACCTTGGGACCCTGCACCTGCATGGGAGACCTGGAAGAAGCTCCTGGCTTCTTGCTTCAGATCGGCTCAGCTAGGGCCGTTGCGGCTACTTGGGGAGTGAACCAGCGGATGGAAGATCTGTTTGTCTCTCTCCCTCTCTGTAGATCTGCCTTTTCAATAAAAATAAAATAAATCTTTAAAAAGAAAGCAGCAGGAGACAGTCTAATTACTCAGGCCCCGGCACCCATGCGGGAGACCCAGATGACGTGCTTGCCTGTGGCCCTGCCCTGGCCCCTGCAGCTGTTCGAGGAGTGAACCAGTGAATGGAAGATCCTGCTCCTTTTCCTTTCCCTTTTAAATACATACATAAATCTTTCAAAAACATCTACCCAAGAAAAAGACAAGGAGGAAGGTCTTACTCTGTTCAGGTTCCATCTCCACTACTCAAGCCTTCCCTCAATGCTCCCTGCCCCCGAACCCCTTTTCATCCAACCACATCCTTTGCAGACCCGATGGCATTTAGATCATGACCTTGGCCTTGATCTTCAGCAGACATTGTGCTCCTGTCTCCAGGTCCTCTCTCATGAATGACCACACCGACCACCTGGCTGCCCCAGTCACAACTCCCAGGCTCCCGTCCTTACCCTTCCCTCTCCATTCAACGAGCTCCGCTCTGAAGTCCTTCCCCCACGGCCCCATCATGCCTGCCAAGCACTGGAGCTCTGAGGATCTCCCAGAGTATCTCCCACTAGTCTCCAGGCCCCGTTGCCCCAGCCAGACCCCACTGCCACCATCTGCCCCTGACACTAGTTACGTTCCAGTGTGCAGTGTCCCGGCCTAGAGTCCATATCAACAGCCCTGCTGTCCGGTGACCTGGCTTCCTTCGAGCTTTGCAGGTTTACTGCCTGCCAGTCCCCAGGAGGTCCCAGCTAAGCCACGCCGGCCATGCTAGCCACGCTCCCTTTCCCCCTCCCTGCAGTGTTGATTGCCGCGCATCTAGCTACACAGTGGGCCCTTTGTCCGGAATGGCCTCCCCACCTCTGTTCCCATATTTCAAGTGTCTTGTCCACTGAGAAATCCCCCTGGACTGCCCCGCCTCGACTTGATCTGGAAAGAGATGTCTTTTTTTTTTTTTTTTCTTAAACACCCTCAGTGTCTGGCAGAAGGCCCAGCACAGCACAGGAGTGCCCAGTGCTTCACGGTCCCAGAAGCCTTTTCTGGCAGGCAGTATGGCTGCCTTACTGTGGTACCCAACACAGTCCCGACACTGGGGTTCAGCACGGGACTGGCGTCTTCTTGCCTTATGGACACTCATGTCCCATAAATGCTCCTCTCCTGATTGTACGTGTTCCACAGGCGAGGCAGGCCCTGGAGTTAGATGGGGGTAGGTTCAAACCCTTGCTGGGTATTGGATACAATGAGGATCTTAAAACTTCTGATCTTTCTGGGTTTCGGCTTTCTCATGGGGAAGGTGGCCGTATCAGTGGTTGCCTCCTCGGGTCTTTGGGAAGACTATATCAGAAAACACATTTAAGGTGCTCGGGCAAGTTGTCTGGTAAAATGGCCATTGATAAATACTTGTTGATTGAATGGGTTGCCCACAAAATAGCACCAGTTCTTAGAGCTTCTTGGCCCCACAGCGGTAGCCTAGTGGCTTTATCCTCGCCTTGCATTCAGGGTCCCAAATGGGTACCTGTTTATGTTCTGGTTGCTTCATTTCCCATCTAGCTCCCTGCTTGTGGCCTGGGAAAGCAGTGGAGAAAAGTCCAAAGAGTTGGAACCCTGCACCCACACGGGGGACTGGAAAAAGCCCCTGGCTCCTGGCTTTCGATCAGCTCAGCTCTGATTGCGGCCACTTGGGGAGTGAACCGGTGGATGGAAGGTCTTTCTCTCCGTTTCTCCTTATCTCTGTAAATCTGAATTCCCAATAAAAATAAAGAAATTTTATTTTAAAAAATAAAGAGTTTCTTTTCCGGTCCCCTTTCCAGAGAATCCAACTTATGGCTGGCTCCGGAATCAAGCTTCAAGCCTGGCCCACAGGCTTAAGAGTCCACTCCTAAGCTTGAGTCAGCTCAGTCCCACGTGCAAAGCCTAGCAGATGACAGCATACATCTTAGGAATCGGCCACTTCTCCAGGAGGAAAACGGGGTTCAGAGTGGTCCCAAACTGCCAGCAGCCAACATGCCCCAGGCCACCCTCCTATACCCAAAACTGCAGTCCCCATTCTGTTCTTGCCTTGGCTCTGCTGGCCTTATGGCTGCCAATCACCAAGTCTCAGTCCCACTCCTAAGTGAATCAATCAATAATGCCTGGAAGTTGAAGCCTCAGGTTGCTGCCGCACCAGCAGCACGGCCTGCACTCTTGACAAGTCACTGCCCGGTGCACTCTGGGGCTTGTAGTTTAGAAAGGAGGCTGCACAAACTGGGCTGGAGGTGATGACTCCAACAAGAAGCTCCAGTGCCAAAGGGCCCCCAGAGTCACCACCAAAACCCCTAGATACACAGCACCCCTCTTCTAATGAGTAATGAAGTGGGGGCTTGGTTCTTCTCCCACCACTCGCCTTTGGTGGCTGTTCCTGGGGCCTACTCCTTTAACTCTATAATATGTGGGGACCACCAATGAAGTTAACCACAGATTTCAAGAAAGTGTTGGACCAAAATAAGCTTATCTTCCCATGAATTTTGTGAAGTACCTTTGTAGAAGGCATTCCATGTCTGTTGCATCCAGGCCACACAGTTTGTAGCTTTGTCAAATGTTAATTTGTGTGTCTGTTTGGTGGCTGGCTATTCCCTGAGCCCTAAGACCCCCTGGGAATCTGCATCTGTTGTTGTTTTTTTTAATTGCCAAATAAAAACACAAATAAGATATCACTGGGGACAAAATTGCCATCTTCCTCTCTTCTGTCCCAAAGCTACAACCATAGACAACCCTGAGCATGAAGGGACCGTGGAGTGCAGTGAATGTGAGCCCAAACCAGGATGATGTTTCTCTTACTTACTTACAGGTTGACCTGGGACTCTAGTTCAGCGTCTTTGGTGGGCCACATCTGAAGGGACTGGATGCCAAAGGAGAGCGATGACTTGGCTTTCCAGAAAAGCGTCTGGGCCATCGGACTCCCACAGGACTCCTTGGTCAGTGGATCCATCGGTGAGCTCGGTGGTTGAGGTGCTGTACTGAAGCAGAAGGGACAGGCGCTGAGAAACACAGAAGAATGGCAGGCCAGTCCCTGGCCTGGTTGTTGCACTCCCTCCCCAGCCAAGGTCAGTACCCTCCATGGTCATCAACCAGAGCAGGTGGACACCAAGGCCCTCCCAGTCTCCAGGAGCCCCATGAGTCTGCACCCCACTTCACTCACTGTACACAGTGGCACCCACTGGGTGTGAGGAGAGTCCCTGCACTCTGGACCCTCGTGTATCCCACCACCTCCCTCCAAGCACGTGGCCTAAGGGAGTCGGTTGGAAACCATTGCAAACTCAGGCAGAAGGTGCTGCTGATTGGGAAAGGGAAGGTGACTGGGGAGAATGATTCACATGGGCGTTCATGTCCTGAGACATGTCAGGAGGGCTGGGGCACGGGAAACAAAGACCATCAAGCAGCGCACAGCCCGTCAGCAGCAAATGGTTGTGGGATTAACATGGGGGTGGCTCACGGGAATCAACGGAGGCATGCGTTCCTGAATGTGCCTGCTCCTCTCTCGCGTGACGCATGGAAGAGAATGGGAAAGGCATTCTGAGACAGCAAGGCTGCTTCTTAGCAAATGCTGGCCCCTGGCTCCCCGGGTTGGAATGATTGTCTAAGTCAATTAGCAGCGTCTTCACTCACCTCTACCCCAGGGGACAGATCCACAAGCCAAAAGTGCAATTACTTGGAAGTGGGAAAGCACCAGGAAAAAAGGCAACCTCAGACAGCACTTGGGTCAGAAAGGAATTCTCTGTAAATGTCCGTTCAAGGAAGACTGTGATAGGGCAGAAGACAAAGGCCTGGTGCTTCTTCCCAAGGAGGGGAGGAAAGAGGGCTCTGTGCCGGGGACTGCACAGAAACAACTGCACACTGACGGCTATCCGCAGCCAGCCAGTTCCGGCCCAGGCTGCTGTGGCAGGGCCATCAGGCCCAAGGCTGCATGCACGTCACAAAGACAAAGACAGGCAATGGGGCTGGTGCTGTGGCATAGCACTCTAATCCTCCATTTGTGGCATGCATTTCTTATGGATGCTGGTTCATGTCCTAGCTGCTCTACTTTTTTTTTTTTTAAAGATTTATTTATTCTTATTGCAAAGTCAGATATATGGAGAGGAAGAGAGGCAAAGAGGAAGATCTTCCATCCATTGATTCACTCCCCAAGCAGCCGCAATGGCTGGAGCTGAGCCAATCCGAAGCTAGGAGCCTGGAGTGTCTTCCGGGTCTTCTACGTGGGTACAGGGTCCCAAGGCTTTGGGCCATCCTCCACTGCTTTCCCAGGCCACAAGCAGGGAGCTGGATGGGAAGTGGGGCTGCCAGGATTAGAACCAGCACCCATATGGGTCCCAACGAGTGCAAGGCTAGGGCTTAGCCACTTGGCTATTGTGCTGGGCCCATAGCTGCTCTACTTCTGATAAAGCTCCTTGCTTATGGTCTGGAAAAGCAGTGAAGAAAAGCCCAAATTCTTGGTCTCCTGCACCCATGTGGGGGACCCGGAGGGAAGCTCCTGGTCCCTGGCTTTGGGCTGGCCCAGCTCTGGTCATTGTGGCCATTTGGGGAATGAACCAGTGGATGGAAGATCTCTCTCTCTCTCTCTGTATCTCCTTCTTTCTGTAATTCTGCCTCTCCAGTAAAAATAAAGCATAAAAATAGTGATTAATTGTGGTGCAAAAGATTTCAAGAGCATGTATATGAAGAATCTTCAAAAGGATGCATATTATGAAAAAAGTGCATGTCTTTTTCCACCAAAATACACTTATCTTTTCATTCCTTCTTCCTACAAATCGGCTGAACTGCTTCATGCGTTGAACAGCACAGCTCCCTATAAAGGATGCCTCACAGCTGTCCTCTTGCGCCAGCCTCCGCTCTGCGCTGGGGTGAGGTGAACCCCCAAGCACTAGGAGCCCCTTGCACATGTGTGCAAAGCAGCTGTAGGGATGCAGGGGGTTCATCCCTAGGGAGTCCCTGGTGTGGACACTGGAGTGCACTGAGGTGGGGTGCAGAAAAGCGCAGACATGCTTGAGGGATCCCAGGGCTGTTCAAGGGATCCCCACCTCCACTTCTTTTCCTCTGCACTTCCCAGTTTGGTTTCCACCACTCCTTTCCCCATCCATCTGCCCATCTTCCATGTGATAAGATGCTTTGATTACCCAATGCTCTGGGACTTGCTTCTCTACCAAAACCCTAGGTACATCAAGAATACGACAGAGGGCTGGCATTATGACTTAGCATGTTAAGCCACCTCCTGTGACACTGGCATCTGCTATGGACACTGGTTCAAGTCCTGGCTGCTCCACTTCTGACCCAGCTCCCTGCTAATGTGCCTGGGAAAGCAGCAGAAGATATGCCCCAGGTACTTAGGCCCATGAATGGAATTCCAGGCTCCTAGCATTGGAGCCTGGCACGTTGTGGCCATTTGGGGAGTGAATCAGTGGATGGAAGATTTCTGTTTTTCACTCTGTTGTTCTGCCTCTCCAATAAATAAAACAAGGAATATTAGAATGAGGTCATCTAATACATTGTTTGTATTACTTTCAGCATATTATTTCTGATATATATATATATAGAGAGAGAGAGAGCGCGCTCTCTCTCTATATATATACATATATATATATGCTCTTTTAGCCCTTTTCCCACCATTACTCCTTTAACCCTCACAACAACAAATTTTTTTTTTCACACTTTGCTCTAGGTCTCTAGCTTCAGGTTCTCATCACTGATTTTAATCTGCTTACTTCTTGTCTCATTAGACGTGTATGTTTCCCCATAACCTCCTGGCATACTTGATCGCCCCACTGTTTAGAAACGTTTCACAGCTGAAGCACTTGCTGGAAAGATGACAATGTAAGCATTCATCTGCAGAACTCCTTGGAACTCTCGGAAATGAGGGGGAACCCACAGGAACACAGAGAGTTACAGACGGGGGCTGGCTGAGCTGACGGGGTGACTGACTGCACACGGTGCGGCATTGACACAGCAACCTTGGAGAGTCTGCAAATTTTGCATCACAGGAGTGGGTGAGGGAGCAGGTTCCTGAGGATGGTTGCGTCTGCCGGGGAGGGTGCTGGCAGGCCCAGACCGGGCAGGGCTAGAGGTCTCCTCTCTTCTTACACCCGGATGTGTAGTGAACAAGGGCGGCCCTGTGGAAACGGGCTACTGGGAGCGGACAGCGGACAGCGCGTCCCTGGAGTCCCTCTGAACCTCTTACAACATACTAACCCAAAGTTCCCTGCATGGGCCCAAGAGACACAGGAAGACAGCCACCAGACCCTGTGTGCTTATCCTAAAACCAAGCAAGGTCTCGCTGGGGTCTGATCAGCACAGGGATGGCACTCTGGCCCTCTCCGAGGGGAAGCCCAGGACATGGCAGACAGGAGATGCCAACACCGTGCGTGCCTCAAGGCCAGTCTGTGGCCCAGTGTTCTGAGCGAGAAGATCCAACTATCACTGCTGGAGATGGGGAGGGGAGGTCTGTCCAGGTGAATCCCGGTCCCCTTCTCAACATAAGTGAACACTGACCTGGATAGAGCTGCTTCCGTTGGCAGGTGAGTATGCGGGACTAACTAGAGCAGGGCCTGGGATAGCACTGCTTCTATTGGAAGGTGAGTATGTAGCACAGGGCTGGGAAAAGCGACAGTCAAGGGCAGATGCAGAGCTCACAGCTCAGAAGATCTTAAAAGGTTCAGACAAAGAAATCAAAGACAATGGCTTTGATTGTCTCATGAAGATGGTAACAAGCATGGTAGCCTAGTGCTTAAAGTCCTTGCCTTGAATGCGCAGGAAATCACATATGGGCACTGGTTCGTATCCTGGCTGCTCCATTTCTCTCCTAGCGCCCTGTCTGTGGCCTGGGAAAGCAGTCAAGAAGGCTCGGGACCCTGCACCCATGTGAGACCCAGAAGAAGCTCCTGGCTCCTGGCTTTGGATTGGCTCAATTCCAGCCACTTAGAGGAATGAAGCAGCAGATGGAAGATCTTTCTTTCTCTCTGTAAATCTGCCTTTCCAATAAAAACAAATAAATCTTTAAGAAAATGACAACAGGACGTCTCTCAAAACAACAGGCAGGTTTCAAAAAAGAACATGGAAAATGCTGGGCTGCCATGCCTGCTCACCAGCACTCCAGATCCACTGCAGATCAAGATGAGCTTTCATGCTCTGAGCTGTTGAGGGAGGCCCCGGCAGAGCTGGACGGCGGGAAGGTGCAGTGGTCAGCGGCAGGTGGATGAATTAGCCATGGACACCAGATAGACAAGGCTCTGTTCCAGCCTCTCTCTCACAGGTGCTCCCTGTCCTGCACCCTCTTACTCTACGGTCCTCATCACGGCCTGAGGCCACCTCGGTTCCACATCTGCCTACTAGAATGTGGTCGATGTCAACGCTGGCTGCTTTCACAGATGTCCAGATATTTGCTGAACGAACAAGTGACTATTGACTGCCCAAAACATTAGAAAAAAAAAAAAATACGTACTTAGAATAGGAAGCATATGTCAGTTTGTTTTGGTCTTCTCTTTTTAATGGTTTGTTTATTTGAAAGTCAGTGTTACACAGAGGAGGGAGAGAGCTCTCCCATCCATTGGCTCACTCTCCAGATGGCATAAACAGCCAGGGCTGAGTCAGATGGAAGCCAGGAGCCAGGAGCTTCATCTGGGTCTCCTACATGGGTGCAGGGTCCCAAGCACTTGGGCCATCTTCTACTGCTTTTTCCCAGGCTCTGAGCAAGGAGTTCGATCAGAAGTCGAACAGCCAGGACTCAGAGCAGCGCCAGAGGGGATACCAGGTGGCACAGGTGGTAGTCTTACCGTCACACCTGTTCCAGTTTGGGTCTTTCTTGAAGATCACTGGTAGCTTCAGCCAGAAGTGAGTTGCCCATTTTTACTCCTCACCCTGTGTGGTTCCCAAGAGCGGAGCGCCAGCGACATAGCGGAGGGCAGCTCAGACAGGAGTGCATGCCTATGTTACTTTTATCATAACTAAACAACGATGCTGTTTGTGGCAC